ATGTACTTTTTGTTTGGGTTCTTTCACTCAGCATACTTATTTTGAGGTTTGTGTTGTTGCATGTATCAATAGTTCAGTCCTTGTTACTGCTGAATAGTATTCCTTTGTACAAATATAGCACAATTTGTTATCCACTCCCATGCTAACAGACATTTGGATTGTTTCCAGTTTGGGGCCATAACAAACAAATCTACTATGAGCATTCATGTACAAGTATTTGTATAATAATATGTTTTCTTCCTCCTTGAATCCAAGGTAATTTTAATGGCTGCATAATACTTCATTGTATGACTGTACCATGGTTAATCTACCCCTGATTTTTTTTTTTATGTTTAGACTGACTCTTTTCTTTAAAGATTTGATTTCCTTATTTTTAGAGAAAGTAGCAGGGAAGAAAAAAGAGAGGGAGAAAAACATTGATCAGTTGCCTCTCAAGCACCCTCATTTAGGGACCTAGCCTGTAACCCAGGCATGTGCCTTGACTGGGAGTTGAACCGGTGACCTTTCAGTTTGCAGGACAAGGCCCAACCCATTCAGCCACACCAGTCAGGGCAAATTTGGGAGTGCTGAGATTAGAATGGGGCCCACATAGGGTTTCTGGGGTAGGTGGCCAAGTTCTGATGTGAGTTTCATGAAAGCAGGATCTGAGCCAAGGATCTGGGTACAGGCCATTTATATGAGAGGTGATCCCAGGGGCAGAACAAAAGTAGTAAGGAAAGTTAGTCAGGGAAAGGAGCAAAGCCCAAAAGGTGGGTTAGAGAGCTGTTGATCACGGTGGACGACTGGAGCTCAACCCATGGAATCCTTCTCAGGAATCACATAGAATAGTCCACAAAGTGCTCTCACTGGAGGAAAGCAAATTGGAGGCATTCATTCCCCCATCTTTTTCTCCATTGATGGAGGGTGGTCCATTGATTAACTATCCCTTAGTTCTCTGCTCTGTCTGGTATGGGCAGAATGGCCTTCAGTGGCATTGAAGAAGGTCTTGAAGCAGAAAAGCATTGAGCCACCAAGGCAAGGACAGAGAAGGAGGCTGGGACCATGCCCGGAACTGTCTACCATAGGTGCAGTAAGAGCAAGGTGCTAAGGAGCTCGGCGTGGGGCATACACAAGCCTGCTTCAGTGCTTTCCTGTCTGGTTGTTATACGGCATCAAACATATTTGCAGTTACACTTTGATGTATACACCCTGGATCATTTCCTTGAGACAAATTCATCAGCATGGAGGTGCTAGGTCAAAAGTGATATGCATTTGAAAGATTTGATCCTGGTCACCACATGAGTCAGTGAAAAGGCCTCAGTTTACCTTCCTGCAGAGTGTACATGAGGGCATCTTTTTCTCTGCTCCTTTGCCAATTCTGAGCATTTTTATTAAATAAACAAGCAGAAATGTATCAAAATGGCTTGCCATTTTACATCCAACTTAATTGCAGGCCCCATAAATCAAAAGACCACACCTTATTCACCAGATGCTAAGTTCATAAATGAGCACACACACTTAAGGCACAAAGATTTGTCTATAAGGATAGGACTTTGGGCCTCTGAAAACAAGCCTGTGGACAGAGTACATGACACTCTAGCACCTGAGTCACTTTTTTTCTGTCACACCTTTCCAATATGACCTCCAGACTTGCCAGGTGACTACCATGTCACTGTTCACCAGTCCTGGGCCCTGGGCAGCATCTTCCTCAATCTTTGCCATGCTGGGTTGACCCTGGGTCGATGCTTGTCCTCTATGTCTCTGGCACAACTCCTTGTGTTTTATCTGATGGTTCATCTTGATTAGAGCCAAACACGCAGTTAAGACATATGTGACATTTTGACCCCTGGTAATCCCAGAACTCAGGCCAGTGTGGCTCAAGAGGCTGCTTTAAGACCCTAAATCTTAATTACTTACAACACATGGAGAGAGGTTTTTTTTAGTACAGAGAAATAGTTGCTAGCATTTCATTTGGGGCCTGGCGTATGACTGCATATTCCAGGACACGACTCAATTGTGCTTCAGAGCTTCCAGGCTCTTCTCTGTCCTGGCTTTCACCTGTTGGGCTGGCGCTGCCTGTGGCTGTGACACTTGGCTCCCCCCCTTCCCCAACAGCTGTGCTCCAGCAGGTGGTGTCAGCAAGCCTGGTCCCTCAGCTGTCCGTGCTGACATGTGATCACTTGAAGCTCTTCCTTGGCTTCCATGCGTGTGTTTGCCCCCTGTCAGCTCACCACCCCACAGTTGTTTACAAATCTGTGAGCAGTCACGGCCCTGACACGCACGCTCAGCTTCCCAAGGCTGTCCGTGATCATCCACGCTTCAACACCCCTGGATGGCTCAATTTCAGGACTTCAGTTGACCTGCTGTTTGGCTTTCGGGAAAGGATATGATATGGTGAGTGGAAACAACGGATGGACAGAGAATAGCAACCAGTCAGATCTGGAAGCCTCTAAAGTTTGTGAGAATTGACAATCCTGATATCAGAGACTGACCCCACGGGGATCCCAAACATTTCCTTTTCCAAATAATCTCTCTACTTAATAAACAGGAATTTTACATTTTCAATTTTGGGGGACCATCACACAGACTATGGGGATGGATCGACAGACTAAGGACCATGATGTGTGCTACCAAGGGCAACAAATTGTCCACAGGGACGTGTCCAGCTAATATGGTACTATTGTGAGGAAATAATGCGAGAGAAGAGGTACAGAGAAAGAGAAAGAAAATTGCCTTCCCATAAAAACTGTCGTCACCAATATGAGAGTCCCGAGAAAAGAAACTGTACCTGTTCATTAAATCTGCAATGCCCAATAAGAAATGCAAATGAAGCCTATAGGGGAGGCCAATTCTTCACACTCTAAGTACATAGATTCATGAGTAAATCGTAGCAAAAAGGCCTCTAAAATAATAGAGGAACTCAAAAACGGAAATACAAAATTCACGAAGACTGGAAAGAAGAATCTCCAAACCAATAAACACCACACAAACAACATAAGTAGCAAGAAGTAATATGACCAATAGGAGCAATACAGACATACACATCTTCAGTAATCAGGGAAATTCACATGGAAACAACCAGTGTGTTAATAACCAACTTGTTGGTTATTAGACACTTGTGAATAGATATTTGAATCTTTTAATAGATTATATGAACTAGTGGCAAGGATTCAGAAAAGAAAATGGAAACTCACTGACTGCTCATGGGAGCAGAACCTCCCAAACCATTTGTGGTGAAGAATCAGGTTCTTTTATTCTTTGTCCTGATAAGAATGTATTATAACACTGTTTACATCTCACCTCCATCTCTAAGTATAGCATGCACTTTTTCCCAGTATAATGTTTGAAAAACTGGAACAATTTTTTATGCTTACCCCTCATATATCTCTTAAGAAACTTTTCCTAAAATGTATTTATTTTCACAACAAAAACCTTTTGATCCATTCTTCAAATGGGCCCTTTCCATATTCTTTTTGTTTTAGCATTATTATTATTATTATTATTATTATTATTATTATATAAAGTATTCTAGTCCAGTACTTTTATAAAATATAAAATCATGTTTGGATACCATGGAAATATTAAATTATGCTAAACATTTGTAAACAAACACTTACTCCCAAGTCCTGAATTTATCTCATCATAACACTTCATAGACCAGATTCTAAACTCATGAACAAAGGACTACCTGAAAGTATCTCTTCAAATTAAACAGAATTTTAAATGTAGATACTTAGATTTCTAGAAATCTATTCTAAATATATGTTGATTCAAGATATAAGGAAATTACCTGAAAATATATATTAATAGGGGAAAGGATGATTATAGAATGGCCTTATAGTGGAGAATTATATAGCTATTGAAAAAAATAAATGATATTTATATTGGGTTCACATTCAAACAGGAATATGTCTGAAAAGCATAGAAAGTATAGAAAAACATGTATGTATATGTAGTACGTACATGTACAGTCCCCCCTTAGTGGTTAATGGTGTGTGCCTCAGGTGACAGGATTGGTGGGAAATTGGGATCTTGCATATTTTATTTTATAACAAGTAAATATTTCTGTTTAGAATCTTTCTCAGTCTGCCACATGGAGCCCAGCTGATGCAATTGCTGTAACGTCCATTTGTTACTGATCAATTACAGGCAGCAGCATGTGAAGGAAACCTCAGTGTCTGCTCAGGGCTGGAGCAGAAACGCCAGGCTTCTGGGAGAGGAGACGTGTCTAGACACATGGCCACATCCAGAGAGAAGCAATCCCCATTTTTCAGGGCCTCCCCAGAATCCAGCGTAAGACAGATTCTTTCTGGCCCTGACCAGGTTCCCTGCTCTGTGCCAAGGGCTGTGGAGACCAGACCCGGAGAGTCATATGTGTTTTCACAAGACGGGTTGTCTTCACAGGGAGCTTACCAGCTGCCTAGAGAATCCAGACAAAACACAAATGAAGTCCTTTAATCAGCTTCATGCTTCACTGAACAAAGAATCCAAATAGGAGACAGGATCTCTTTAAAATCGGAAAGAAAACCAGGCTCTCTCCACCACTCTGTTAGTAACACAATTCTAGACCAGATGTAGGAACATTGTTATTCAGCATGAGAAAACAAAAAGTATTAGTTGGAGATAATGTAATTGTTTATTGAGAAACTCCAAAATAACTGAAAAGTGATTATCTTTATGGAAGTTTAATAAAATGACTGGTTAAAGATAAGTGTACAAAAGTAACCTACTATCCTGACCTCCCCAAAGTAATGAACAAAAAATATATAAGGAGTTGTGGGAACAACATTCCACCTAAAAATATTGAGATATAACCTGAATTTGAAAAATGAACCTATGTGAGGAAAGTTACAAAATTTACTGAAAGGGTTCAAAGAAAATATGAATAAATAAAATGCAATGAGAAGACTGAATATTACAGAACTATTTTTTCCAAATTAGCATATTGATTACAACTATAAGAGTAACTAATTGGTCTGCTCTGCTATGTATTAAATCATAATATAAATTTTAAACACTTACCTCAGTGGATCCTGGTTTAATACTTCCCCTAGAAAGAGATGCATTATTTCAATATTCTACTTTTTGTGGGTATGTATACACAAACACATTTTAAAAACTACAGAATGGGAACAACAGAATTAAAAGAAATAAGCTCATCAGTCAATTTGGCATTGGAGGTTCTACATAAGTCAAAGAAATAAGAGGTCTAAGAATTTTTTAAAAAGAAGATAAAACAGTTCTTACCTGTAAACAAAATTATCTCCATAGGAAATTCAAGAGAATCTAAAACAAATTTTAGAGTGATAAGAAAGTTTGGCAATGTGCTAGATACAAAACCAACACACTAACATTTTTTGCATTCCTACTCAGAGTATAACTAATGAGAAAATCTTTTTGAATAAAGTTCTTATTTATCATAGCCACAAAAACTATAAAATACCTAAGAATAAACTTGCACAAGATGTCAAAATCCTTTCATGGGGAAAATTACAAAATAGCACTGAAGGAGGTAAAAAAAAAATCTGATTGTATGCAGAGATTCAGGGGGCTCATGGAAAAAATAGAGAAGATCGGGACCATAACACTTGTCCCCAAATTATCTATAAATGCAACGGAATCGAAATGAAAAGTCCACCAGGGATTCCATGGCATTTGATAAGCTGACTTTAATCTTTGTATAGGACAGAAAAGAGACCATAATAGTCAGGATTCTCTAGAGAAATAGAACCAATGGGATACAAAAGATAATTATGAGGAATTGGGAATTGGCTCACATGATTACAGAAGCTGAGTGTCCCATGATCTGCTGCCTGCAAGCTGGAGACCCAGGAAAGCTAGCGCTGTTGTTCCATTCCTCAGAACCAGGGGAGTTGATGGTGGAAACCCAAGTCCCAGGGCAGAAGCCTGAACAAATTCTCACTTTCTCTGCTTTTTGTCCTAGTTAGTCCCTCCGTGGATTAGGTGATACCCACACACAGTGGGGAGGGCAATCTATTGCAACAAATTTGTCCATTCAAATGCTAATCACATCCAGAAACGACACCTTACAGACATATTTCGAAATACTGTAATGTTTAATCTGGGCACCCTGCAGCCTAGTCAAGTTGACACATGAAATGAACTATCACAGTAGCTAAGACAGCCAGAGACATTGCTCTATCAGATATCAAGATTAAAAAGATGTACAAAGGCTGATGACACAGTATTTGAGTTGGACAAAACAGACCCAAGCATATGTAAATATTTGAGATAAGGCCCTAAAAATCAGTGCAGAAATTATACACTAGCCAACAAATGAGTCTGGGAAAATTGGTTATCCTTTTGGAAAGAAAATGAAGTCACTATCTTACACTTCAAAAAAATAAATTCCAAACAGACTAAATATCTCAATGTCAATAGAAACCATGAGCCCTGGCTGAGTACCTCAGCTGGTTGCAGTGTTGTTTAATACCCCACGGTTGCAAGTTCAATCCCCCACTCGGGGCACATACAAGAATCAACCAATGAGTGCATCAATAAGTGGAACAACGAATTGATGTTTCTCTTTCTCTCTTTCTCAAATCAACACATTTTTTTAAAAAAAGAAAACCATGAAAACTTCTGGAGGAAAATCTTTCATAATCTTGAATCTTTGCAGGATTCCATTCATAAGCACAAGAAAACAAAACCCTTCATTAAGGAAAGAGTAGACAAATGTTACTACACTAAAATTATAAACCTAAATGGAACAATTAAACTCCCTAAAATTGGAAAGACAAGTCATAGACAGGAAGAAGATATTTGCAATGCATACAATCAACAAATGTTAGTACCTAAAAATATGTAAAACTTTTATAATTCAGCAAAAAAAGACAAATACTACAAAACAGGCAAAATATATCAAGAAACAAATTTACAGAAGAGGAAACCTGAATGCCAAATAAATGAAAAGTCTGATTTATTCCCCTAGTTATCAGGAAAATGCCACCTCATAGCTATCAGATTAGCAAAATGAAGAAAAAGTAACCTACGTACATTATTGGTGTAGATGTTACTTGGTAAATAATGATGGAATGAAATTTCCCACTCTACCTTTGTGCATCTATAACCTAGAGAAATTCTCTGACATGTGCCCAAGGAGTAACACACTAGATTATTCTCTGCAGTGTTGTAATAGGGGGAAATGGAAATAGCTTAAATATTTATCAGCAGAAGAATAGCTAAGTGGTTTGTATTACACTCAGCAATGGGATATTATAGAGCAGTTGAACCGAGAGAACTAGACAAACAAGGGTAAAAACTCATCAACATTAACAAAAAGGTAAGTTGCTGAATGACACTTCCTATGATATCATTTTCAAAACTACAGTCTTATTGTGGATCCACGCACATATGGTGGTCCTATGAAGTATGCAGAAGACTGATACCAGGTAGCAGCAATCTGTACAGCAAGAGAAAAGGGGTAGGTCTGAAAGAGAAGATGGAGAACGTCAAAATGTCAACGTCTGAGTTTCGAGCATGTAGATGTCTGTTATGTCACTCTCCGTGTCAATACATGTCTGAACCATTTTATAATAAAAATGGGAAAATTGTTCCCTGTACTTTCTGAAGTTCCTTTAGCTGGTGGAAAGTTTACGGTGGAAATATTCCTCCTAGAACATTTTCCATTATCTTTGCTTCAAAGCAACAGCTACTCCTTTACTTCCCATTCAATGATACGAGCAAATGATATTTTCTCAATCTTATATACAGTAAAAATAAAAACATCTTTAGAAAACTATACTATTCTTATTTACCAGAATATAAATTCTACGCTAAAACCTGTGACTTGGCCTTGCAAACACAGTTTCAATATGTATGCCTTCCTCTTCCCAGCCCCCAGCTCTAAATAAGCTATAGCTTCTAGGTCCGTCCTGGATAGAAATCCGGGGCCATCAGTGCGTATAGCTTTCCAACCACCAGGGGAACATAAGTGATTAGGAAACTCAGGGGTCGTCCTTCTCCATCAATGGCTAGAATTGTTAACTGGATAACTATGAGCTCAACAGCGTATGGAACAAAGCTATTTCTTTTATTCCGTGTATGTTGATGCATAAAACATCTTGGACATGGTTAATGTGTAGATTCCATCTGGCATTTTTCATATTATGTAAAATTGTTATGTCAGCAACAGATGGTAGAGCTAAGTGTTAGGAGATTTTACTTCTGCCCAAGTATCAGGTTTACAAATCTGAACGTTAAACAGTTCACAGGTCTATAGAAATGCATGAGGTGCTAGATTTTCTCCTGTTGAGCTGCCTTGCAAGGCATTAGTTTCTTGTCTGTTTCTCTTCTCCTCCTTCCTGACAAACCTTGATTTTTTTCTGTTATTCCCACCTGAGCTTGAGCTGACTCATTCATCATTAGTTTTTGGCACATGTTCTCAGTAAATTGAAGGACTCACAATGCTCATGCAAGTGAAATGTTTATATCTCCTCTCTCTTGCTTGATGTGACCAAAGAAGGTGCTAGACATGATTTTCTCCAGCAGCCATTTAGTGACCAAAAGGAAAACTCAGCTTTAAGATGAAACCGGTGCTGAGGATAGTGAAGAGGAGAATCATAGAGAGGCTGAGTCTTTACCTTTCAACTACCTGACCTCCAGACTTGGTGCTTTATCAGATGAAAGATACCCTTATTGTTCAAGCATGTGGAGCCAGGGTTTGTTTTACTTAGAGCCCCAAACACCTTGATAAGAAATGAAGAAACTTTAATATTAATTAATTTAGAAGTTTCATATAAAATTCATAAAATACAATGAAAAGGAGCCATAGACATGGGTCAAGAGCATTTCTGCAAGAAATTGAAAATCTATTTGAAAAAATAAGGAAAGAAAACATCCATAATTTGCTGAAGGAAATAGACATGTTACTCTAGGAAGCACAGAGAGTCCCAAGCAAGCTGGACCCAAAGAGGACCACACCAAGACACATCATAATTAAAATGCTAAAGGTTAAAGATAAAGAGAGAATCTTAAAAGCGGCAAGAGAAAATCAGAGTTACCTGCAAAGGAGTTCCCATAAGATTCCCATCTGATTTCTCAAAAGAAATTTGCTGGCTAGAAGGGACTGGCAAGAAATGTTCAAAGTGAAGAAAAATAAGGGCCTACAACCTAGATTACTGTATCCAGCAAAGCTATCATTTAGAATGAAAGGCAGATAAAGTGCTTCCCAGACAAGGTGAAGTTCAAGGAGTTCATCGCCAAGCCTTTAGTATATGAAATGTTAAAGGGACTTATTTAAGGATAAGAAGATCAAAACTATGAACAGTAAAATGGCAACAAACTCACAACTGTCAACAACTGAATTTAAAAAACAAATTAATCGAACAAGCAGAATAGGATCAGAATCACAGAAATGGAGATCGCATGGAGGGTTATCAGCAGGAAGAGAGCAGGGGAAGAGAGGGGGAAAAGTTGCAGGGATTAAGAAGCACAAATTGGTAGGTACAAAATAGACAGGGGGAGGTTAAGAATAGTATAGGAAACGGAGAAGACAAAGAACTTATATGCATGACCCATGGACAGGAACTAAGGGGGAAAATGCTGAAGGGAATGGGGGTACTAGGTGGAGGGGGCAAAGGGGGAAAATTGGGACAACTGTAATAGCACAATCAATAAAATATTTTTAAAAAAAGAAGACACGTGACATTGAGGCTCTTTTCCCTAACACATCTGCTGCTAAAGGTGTATTTTGGAGTTGGTATAAACTTTAAGAACCTTGGCAGCCTGCTGTTTTGGTTAATAGCCTTTAACAGCTCAATTTCCAGCTACATTGTCCTCAGGGTTTTAGGCAAGCAAAGGCGATTTTTTAAAGTGATGTGTGTCAAAGCCAGACAAAAGTAGCACCTCTGGCATTGCTTTGTGTTCCTGCCTTTCTATTTGCATCCCCCAAGTGGGTATAAGGACAAGCGAATGCTCATGGCTGCTCTGCAAGGGAACCTGACTCCTTTTGTGAGTAATGTCACCTGATTCTGAAGCTACTTGGGGAACAGAATAGACTATCTGATCAGTTTGTGCATCGGGGACTAAGTCCTTTATAAGACTGGTGAAAAATTGCTTTCAGATGAGTTCCACTGAGGAAATCATTAGTATTTGATAATGAATGGAAATCAGTCCCGCGAAATAAAGATACCATTCAGAAGGCTTCTAATGTATCTTCATGTTAAATGATTGGACTTTTTAGGCTTAAGGGAACTTACTCCAACCAACATTTCCACGTTACTCTCCTTCCTCTCTTCTCCCTTCAATTTTGGCTACAGTCATGTGGCTCTTCAAATATAGCTGTAAAGATTACCAAATATGTTCTTAGTGGAGGCAGCATGTTATATCATAATGTGGATTCAAAGCTCAGCTATGACAATTACTCATCACTTTGGGCAAGTTACTTAATATCTTTGTGCTTTTATCTCTTTATCTGCAAGGTGGGGATGACATTAATAGTACTTACCTCATAGGGATGCTATGAAGATAGAATGAAGGAATATTTGTAAAACTTTTGGAACATGGCCTAGTACTAGATGGTAAGCCCTGTGTGCTTATGAAATAAATGCCTCTGTGTCTTTCTTTGTGCTTTTCTTCAGCTCAGAGGCCTATCCTCCATTTCATCAGCCACACTCTACTCTTATGCCTTTTAAAACAGCTTTATTGAGGTATCACTGACATGCCGTAAATTGCAAATATGTAAAACTTTGACAAATGCATACATTCATGAACACAATAAAATAATGAACATTTTCTTCACCCCAAAGTGTTTCTCATGCCCTTGAAATTCCTCTCTCCCCTTTATGCCTCCCCTCACCCCACAAATGATAGCTTGCTTCCTTCACTACACATTTGCTCAAATTATCTAGAATTTTACAAAAATGCAATTATAATATGCAGGGGTGGGCAAAAGTAGGTTAATAAGTAGATAATAACACAAGAATAAACTCTGTTTTGTGCACTCGCAGCTGTAAACCTACTTTTGCCCTGCACTGTATAGCCTTTGGTATCTGTCTTCTTTCTCCTCGCATGTTTTTGAGGTTCGTGTTGTACTATGTATCAGTAGTTACTTCCTTTTTATTGCTAAGTACTATTCCATTGTATGGATATAGCATTTGTTTATAAATTACCCATTGATAGACATTAGGACTGGGTCTACTTGATAAACTGCTTTCCTAGCAGAACAGTGCCTAGCACACAGTAAGTACTCAATAAATAATTTTAAATGAATGAATGGAACAATGTTCTTCTGGTGTGCTGCAATGAATACTATGCAACCATTACAAATTATGTCTTCAAAGAATAATTGATCATATGTAAGAACACATATTGATGCCGTGGCCAGTTTGGCTCACTTGGTTAGAGTGTTGTCTTATAAACCAAAAGGTTACAGGTTTAATTCCCAGTCAGGGCACATGCCTAAGTTATAGGTTTGGTCCCTGGTCAAGGCACATATAAGAGGCAATGGATTGGTGTTTCTTTCTCACATTGATGTTTCTCTCCCTCTCTCTCTCTCAAAAAAATAAGGTTTTAAAATTATTTTTTTCTTTTCTTTTATTTATTTTTTTGTTTTTTTTTAATTTTTAGTTATTTTTCAAGTACAGTTTTTTGTCTATTTTTCCCATCCCAGCCTCCCCCGCCCCTTGCTCCCCACCTCCCTCCCATTTCCACCCCCCTTAGTTCTCGTCCCTGTGTCCTTCCTATTTGTTCCTCCAAATCCCTCCCCCTTTTCCCCGTTAACTTCCCTTCCCTCTCCCCTCTGGTCACTGTCCCCTTGTTCTCTATTTCAGTGTCTTTGGTTTTTTTTTTTTTGTTTTTTCTGCTTGCTTGTTTGTTTTGTTGTTTAGCTTCCTGTTAAAGGTGAGATCATATGGTATTCGTCTTTCAGCACCTGACCTATTTCACTCAGCATAATGCTTTCCAGTTCCATCCATGTTGTTGCAAAGGGTAGTAGCTCCTTCTTTCTCTCTGCAGCATAGAATTCCATTGTGTATATGTACCACAATTTTTGGATCCATTCATTTACTGATGGGCACTTAGGTTGCTTCCAACTCTTGGCTATTGTAAATTGTGCTGCTATGAACATTGTGGTGCATAGGTTCTTTGATATTGATGTTTTAGGATTCTTAGGATATAATCCCAGCAGTGGAATTGTTGGGTCAAAAGGCAGGTCGATTTTTATTTTTCTGAGAAAATTCCATACTGTTTTCCATAATGGTTGTACCAGTCTGCACTCCCAACAGTGAACTAAGGACCCCTTTTCCCCACGACCTCTCCAACATTTGTTGTTTGTTGCTTTGTTTATGATAGCCATCCTGACTGGTGTAAAGTGGTATCTCATTGTGGTTTTAATTTGCATCTCTCTGATAGCTAACGATATTGAGCATCTCTTCATGTGTCTCTGAATGTTCTGTATGTCCTCCTTGGAGAAGTGTTCAAGTCCTTTTCCCATTTTCTAATTGGGTTGGGTGTCTTCTTAGAGTGGAGTCGTGTAAGTTCTTTGTATATTTTGGAGATTAAACCTTTGTCTGAGGTATCATTGGCAAATATGTTTTCCCATACAGTTGGTTGTCTTGCTTATTTAATACTGTTTTCTTTAGCCATGCAGAAGCTTTTTATTTTGATGAGATCCCATTTGTTTATTCTTTCCTTTACATTCCTTACTCTAGGGGACATATCAGTAAAGAAGTTGCTGCGTGAAATATCTGAGATTTTCTTGCCAATGTTCTCCTCTAGGACTTTAATGGTGTTATGACTTACATTTAAGTCTTTTATCCACCTTGAATTTATTTTGGTGTATGGTGTAAGTCTGTGCTCAAGTTTCATTTTTTTGCATGTAGCTGTCCAGTTCTCCCAACACCATTTGTTGAAGAGGCTATCTTTACTCCATTTTATGTTACTGCCCCCTTTGTTGAATATTAATTGACTGTAGAGAGTTGGGTTGATTTCTGGGCTCTCTGTTCTGTTCCATTGGTCTATGTGCCTGTTTTTATGCCAGTACCAGGCTGTTTTGATTACAGTGGCCTTGTAATACAGTTTGATATCAGGTATTGTGATCCCCCCTACTTTGTTCTTCTTTCTCAAAAGAGCAGCTGCTATTCGGGCTCGTTTATGGTTCCATATAAATTTTCGAAGTGTTTGTTCTATGTCTGTGAAATATGCCATTGGTACTTTAATAGGTATTGCATTGAATCTGTATATTGCTTTGGGTAGTATGGACATTTTGATGATGTTAATTCTTCCAATCCATGAACAAGGTATATGTTTCCATTTGTTTGTGTCTTCCTTGATTTCATTCTTCAGGGCTGTGTAGTTTTCTGCATACAGGTTTTTTACCTCCTTAGTTAGGTTTATTCCCAGATATTTTATTTTTCTTTTTGCTATATCAAATGGGATTTTTCTCTTTATTTCTGCTTCTGCTGATTCACTGTTGGTATACAAAAATGCCTTTGATTTCTGGATATTGACTTTGTAACCAGCTGTTTTGCCAAACTCATTAATTAGTTTGAGCAGTTTTTGGGTAGAATCTATAGGATTTTCCATGTACACTATCATGTCATCTGCAAACAGTGACAGTTTTGCTTCCTCCTTTCCTATTTGGATGCCTTTTATTTCCTTTTCTTGCCTGATCGCTGTGGCTAAAACTTCCAATACTATATTGAATAGAAGTGGTGAAAGTGGACAACCTTGTCTTGTTCCTGATCTTAGTGGAAAAGCTTTTAGTTTTTTCCCATTGAGTATGATATTGGCTGTAGGTCTCTCATATATGACCTTTATTATTTTGAGAAATGCTCCCTGTATTCCCACTTTGCTGAGTGTTTTTATCATAAATGGGTGTTGTACCTTATCGAAAGCTTTTTCCGCATCTATTGATATGATCCTGTGATTTTTGTCTTTGCTTTTGTTTATGTGATGTATTACATTTACTGATTTGCGAATATTGAACCATCCTTGCATCCCTGGGATGAATCCTACTTGATCATGGTGTATGATCTTTTTGATATATTGTTGGATGCTATTTGCCAGTATTTTGTTGAGGATTTTAGCATCTATGTTCATCAGTGATATTGGCCTGAAGTTTTCTTTCTTTGTTGTGTCTCTACCTGGTTTTGGAATTAAGATGATGCTGGCTTCATAAAAAGAATTTGGGAGTTTTCCATCCTTCTGGATTTTTTGAAATAGTCTGTGTAGAATAGGGGTTTAAAATTATTTTTAAAATTATAAGAACAGCCCTGGCTGGTGTGGCTCAATGAGTTGAGTGCCAGCCCACAAACCAAGGGGTTGCTGGTTTGATTCCCAGTCAGGTCTCCAGTAGAGAGTGTGGGAGAGGCAACCACACATAGATGTTTCTCCCGTTCTTTCTCCCTCCCTTCCTCTCTGTATAAAAATAAAATAAATGAAATCTTTTTAAAAAATTATAAGGACACACACTGATGATGATAATGTTAGATAAATAAGGTAATGCCCTATAATTATACAGGCATAATATACAAGGAGAAGGATTCTAATATAAAGGCTTTTCTCCAAAGAAGACATACATATCATCACTATCATCAGGGAAATGCAAATCAAAATCACAATGACATACTAACTCACACCAGTCAGAATGGCTATTACCAAAAACTCAACAAATAACATGTATCAGTAAGGATATGGAAAGAAGGGAACCCTTGTGCACTATTGGTGAGACTTATACCCCCTATGGAAAACAGTATGGAGATTCCTCAAAAATATAAAAAATAGATATATTATGCAACCCAGCAATTTCACTTCTGGGTATTTATCCAAAGAAAATGAGAACACTGATTCAAAAACATACACACACACACACACACACACACACACACACACACATATATATATATATATATATATATATATATACCCCATGTTCATTGCAGTGTTATTTACAATAGTCAAGATATGGAAGTGACCTAGGTGTCCATCAGCAGATGAATAAAGAAGATGTGGTATATATATCCCATGAGTTATTGTGCAGCAGTAAAAGGTGAATAAAATCTTGCCATTCGAGGCAACATGGATGAACCTGGGAAGCATTCTGCTAAGTTAAGTAAGTCAGGCAGAGAAAGACAAGTATTGTATGGTTTTACCTATATGTAGAACCTAAAAACAAAACAAACAAAACAAAAACAGCCTTCATACAAATGGAGACCAAAGGGATGGCCACCAGAAGGAAGAGGGTAGGGGGATGGGTGAAAAGTAGAAGGGAAATATAGTCAATAAGATTGTGATAAGTTTACATGCTGACAGATGATGACTAGAATTAGTGGGGTGATCACATTGTAG